CCCGGCTCCCGGCCCCTCCGGCTTCCCGGCAGCGAGCGCTTGGGGTGGCGGCGGGGGGTGTTTTAGCGCGGTCTGTCTCTGTGTCCCGTCACCCGTTTGTGTTTTCTTGCCCCTTACACAGCAGAGTCAGGATTCACCTCCCTGCCCCGGGCGCGCAGCTGTTCGGGCGGCGAGTTGTCTGATGAAATGTGTTAAGAATAAACCGGCAGAACGTTGGCGGCCGTCGCGCCGCGGGGATCGGCCCGGCCCTTCTCGCTGCCCGTGGGGCCGCGCAGCGTTGTGGCAGCGCAGCCGAAGGGCTGAGCGGCGCAGGGGTCAGGGCCGGCGGGGGGGTGTGGGGGGGTGTTACCTCTGCCCGCAGTGCTTTTTTGTATTGTGGGCGGGCCACAACATCAGCTAGGCGAACCGAGTCTGTTTCATGTGGCACAGACAGAATTTGTGCGTGATTTAATCCGAACCCGTATTTTTGCTGCCTACTGTTAAAGCATTTGATTTGGATAATTGACTGTGGTGACTCACATGTAGGAGCAGTTTCAAAGAAATCGGTGTTTATTTGCTTTAATGTGTTTGTCAATAGCCTGCAGCATTCATGGTCTAATTCATGATGTATCCCTGCAGTAGAGACAGTAATGTCAGTAAGAGTGTTAGGGTAGAAAGCTGAAAATTATAATGTTTTAAACCAGTCCAGTTGAATCTTCTAGTGTGTACAAATCAGTGCCCTAATACAGACCTAGTACAAGACAGAGGGAAGCTGAAACTACTGGGTTTCTCATCTGTGCCCATTGTAGCACTGCTTAACGCCTCATCTATTTCCAGGTCATTAAATATTTCTGCTTTTGCTTTCTATGCACGTTTGCCAAAGCTTTAGGATACTTAAATTGTGGGAGTGGGTATCACGTCAGGGGGGAATAAATACATTCTAATGGTATACTTTTCCACATGGCTGAAGGAAAAAGGACCAAAGACTAACATCCTACTTTTAGAGTGGGAAATGCATCATGAAGTGATGAAGTAGTGACTCTAAACAGGATTTGAGGTAGGTGGTCAATTAAAACATATGATCTCAGTGCAACATTAATTCAGAGGTCCAGACCACATCTGAATGCATAAATGGGGATTTAGAATAAAAATCTGTTTGATTCTGGAAGGTTATGCCCAAATCTAATCTTACCAAGTTAGAAAGTATTCTGATAAATTGAGGTTCCGTGACCAATCACAGGCATGATTAACGGACAGGAAACTATGCCTTTTCGTCGGCTTAACAAAGCTATTTTGCTGTTGAGCTTAACAAAAAGGACACAGAGGGATAACTCAATCATAGTGTGCAGGTACTTATGAAGTAGAAAGCTTTTTCCATTTTGTAACAGAGACTTATGAAATGAAGAAGGGAGAGATCCAAAGAGTTCCTGTGATTGAAATTTAGAACAGGTGTAATTTAGTTTGCTCAGAAATTATATTTAACCTGTAAATGGCCTCTGGAACAATTTACTGAGGGGATGTGGTGGATTCTTCCCTAATGTAAGGCAGTAGCCTTACTGACTAATGTAAGGCAGTATTTCCCACTGCCTCACAAAGGGTCGTTCACTTCTATACAGCGTAAATTTAAGGACCTCTTAGAGGAACACGAAGACTTCATAAATACATTAGAGGGTTTTGTTCTGAAAATCAGTAGTGCTACACAGTGAGCTTGTGGAAAAAGTATAAAGATTTAATTTCCTAATTGTGTTGATTTTGGAAGTCAGAAGTGTCCAGTAGTAGGAAGAATATTCTTCTTAGTAGGAGTGGATTTCCATAATCCCCTCCTTGATTTGGTCTCCCTTATTCACTTAGGGAGACTTTGAAGCTTAAATATGAGATGTTCAAAGAGTATTGTCTTAAACAGTGACATAGCCTAGAAGCAGCAGGCTTTGAAATCATAATTATTTTATGTGGCCGTTAGAAGTGTTGGTTTTTTTTAGAATTTGATGTCCTCACAAAGGAGAAAGAATACATGTTCCTGCAGGACCAGTAGTGTGGTACTGGGCTAAATGGCCTCAATATAAGACACTGGTTAGTTATTTTATTTTTTTTAAGAGGTGGCTTTTCCATGTTAGGATTTGAGGCTGGTTTAGACTGGCTTGCATTATAGCTACTTCTTGCACTGTACATTTATGAGTGAGTGCATTGCTTCAGTTTTCAGGGCTGTTCTGTCTTTTATCAGAAAAAAAAATCACGTTTAACTTAAAACCAAATTGCGGTCTTAGCTAATAGAGGCATTTTACCATCTGGGAAAAAAAAATCTCTGACTATGTTGAGCGCTTTAATCAGAAATATTTTAAATACACATTTTTCCCTTGTTTCTTAATAGGAATATTTGCAAGATCTTTGCTTCTTCATCACCAGACGGTCCAGTTAGTTCTTGTGGAGATGGCTGGGAGAGCCTCAAAAAGAGGA